CCCGGCCCCCCGGGGGGCCCCCCGGGGGCCCCCGGGGCGCCCGCGCGGCTGGGGGGCCCCTCGGGGGCCCCCAATTTGCTGCTGCTGCTCTCCGCTGTCTTTGCCGGCCTGCGGGGCTCCAAGGGAGAGGAAGTGGGGAAGGGAGAAGCTGTCAGCAGCCGCACGCGCGGCAGCTGGCTGCAGCTGCTGCTGCTGCTGCTGCTGCTGCTGCTGCGCGTGCTGCTCGTGGTGCTGCTGCTGCTGCGCGTCAGCAGCGGCAGCCGCCCAGCGCTGAGGGGAAAGGCAGCCAACGAGGCGTCTCCGCTCTGCACTTCTAGGGGATAACTTGCTGCAGCAGCTGCCGCTGCAGCAGAAGCAGCAGCAGCAGCAGCAGCTGCTGCTGCTGCTGCTGCTGCGCCTCCAGCGTGTGCATCCGAAAGAATCAGCTGCTGCTGCGGCGAATCATGAGCTCCACGGTCACCCAAAGCCTCAGCAGCAGCAGCAGCAGCAGCAGCAGCAGCAGCAGCAGCAGCAGAGGGCGAAGCAGCCGCTCCCGGCCTACTTTCGATCCCTTCCCGGACTTGTGCTGAAGGCCCACTGCTGTACGGCGGCTCCCCCTCTGCTGCAGCAGCAGCAGCAGCAGGAGCTGCAGCAGCAGCAGCAGCAGCAGCAGGGAGCGCCTGCCCATTTGGAGAAGCATAGAAGCAGCAAACCTCAAGCCCGTCTGGCAGCAGCGCCAGCGGCCTGTCTCCGTCCTGCAGCAGCGCGTCCAGCCAGTCTCTCTTGCAAGGAGACAAGAAGCCGCTGCTGCTGCTGCTGCTGCTGCTGCTGCTGCTGCTGCTGCTGCGGCTGCGGGGGGAGCAGCAGGCGAGCGCCACCACTCGGGAGGCCGCCTCCTCTTCCCCTGCAGCAGCAGCCGAGGCAGCAGACACGAAAGGAGGATAAGAGCAGCAGCAGCAAGGAAGCAAAAAGCAAATGAGGCCCAGCAGCAAATAAGGAGACAGCAGCAAATAAGGAGACAGCAGCAAATAAGGAGACAGCAGCAGATAAGGAGACAGCAGCAGACCAAAGAAAGGGCAAAGACTCGCAGCCAGTTCGCTGCGGAGGCGCCAACAAGCTGCAGCAGCAGCAACAGCAGCAGCAGCAACAGCAGCAGCAGCAACAGCAGCAGCAGCAGCAGCAGCAGCAGAACTCACCGGCCTCTGTCAAGTGCTGCAGCACGCGGGAAAGCAGCCAGCCTGTGGTGGCCTGCGAAGGCTCTGAGCAGCAAATCTTGAGGGGGGGCCCCACACCCGTGTGTACGTACACCGCGCGGCTTGCTGCTGCTGCTGCTGCTGCTGCTGCTGCTTCGCGCCCCACAAAGGGGCCCCCACACTTCAAACTGGGGCGGGGGGCCCTTGCTGCAGGGGCTGGCAGGGGCCCCAGGGGCCCCCGCTCCAGGGGGCCCCACTGGGGCCCCCTGCCCACGGCGCGGAAGCAGGTAGCTTCCAAGGGGCTGCATGCAGCAGCAGCAGCAGGCAGCTGCTGCTGCTGCTGCTGACGCTGCTGCTGCTGGTGCCACAGCAGCTGCTGCAGCTGCAACTGAGAGACGGACACGGAAGGCGCAGGCGCGCCGCCACTAATAAAGGGGCGACCCGCAGCAGCGTCCTGCTGCTGCTGCTGCTGCTGCTGCTGCTGCTGCTGCTGCTGCTGCTGCTGGGCCAATGGGGGCCCCTGGCAAGTCCAGCTTAAACCGCAGTAGCTGCTTCCTACGCTGCGGCTGGCTTCGTGCACCACGCTTTCTCTGTACAGACATTGTTGCTGCTGCTGCTGCTGCTGCTGCTGCTGCAGCTGCTGCGGCTGCTGCTGCAGCTGCTGCGGCTCCATGGGCAGCCGAGCGTGGGTTTGAAGCGACGAAGCTGCTGCCTGCAGCGGCTGTTGATTTGCTGCTGCTGCTCCTGAGGTGTACAGACAGCCGCGGGTGCTCACTGCGCCCGCTGAGGCCTGGTTTGTGGGGCCCCTCATTTGCCCCGTCGCGGCTGCAGCAGCTGCTGCTGCTGCGGCTGCTGCTGCTGCTGCTGCTGCTGCTGCTGTTGGGGCACTTGGAAAGAATGACACTGTGAGGCCCCCAAAGGTGTTTCTGGGCCTAAGGGGAGCCGGCGGTGGGGGTGGGCGAGGTGTACGTACACCCGGGGGCCCCACAGAAAGCAGGGGGCCCCCAGAGGGGCCGCGGCTGCTGCAGGAGGGGGGGGCCCCTCAGCTTGCTGCTCAGGGGGGCCCCCAGCAGCAGCATGCAGGGAAAGCGGAGCCTTCCGGGCCAGCTGGGGCGGCGGGGGGCCCCGCAGCAGCAGGAGTTGAACTGAATTCAGAAAAGGGTCAAAAAAACTTGAAAAAAAAACCCAAGGGGGCCCCGGGGGCCCCCAACTGCAAGAAGTGGCTGGCTGGGAGGCCTCGGGGAGGGCAGGGGGGCCCCTGTGGGGGCCTTCTCCGTCTTAGCGGGAAAATGGAGTTGGAAGCTGCAGCGGGAGAAGCGAAGAAGCAAAGTGGTGCAACACAGGCTGCTGCTGCGCTGCAGCGCAGCAGCAGCAGCAGCAGCAGCAGCAGCAGCAGCAGCAGCGGGCTCTGAGCGCCGCTGCTGGCTGGGGCTGGCGGCTGGTGGCAGCAGAGTGCAGCCAAAATGCCAAAAAGAAATAAATGCGAAGAAGTTGGGCCGCGGAAAAAGCCCAGTTTGAAGGCGAGTCTGAGGTGTACAGACACTGCAGCGGGCGAGATCGCAGTGTCGAGACTCCCCGGCGCTCGCGAGGGCAGGGGGGAAGCTGCTGCTGCTGCTGCTGCTGCTGCTGCTGCAGCAGGCGAGCTTCTTGCGGTTCTTTTCTCTTAAACAACCTTTTTTAAATATTGTTTTGGACTTTTTTGCAATTTAATTGCAGCTTTTTGGCGAAAGGCCGGGCGCGAAGGGCCGCAGCGCCGCCGCGCCGCTGGCCGCCGCAGGACCGCGCGGCTGTCGGCAGCAGCAACGGAGTGCTGCTGCTGCTGCAGCAGCAGCAAACATTGAATTGCTGCAGTTCTTTTGCTTTGCAAATTGAGAAGATAAAAGAAAAGAAAGAAGTGACACGCAGTGGACACGGCCAAACGCCCCGCGCCTCGCCAAGCCACTGCAAGGGGGAGGCCCTCCGAAAGAACTCTTCTTAAATAATTCAAAATTCCTTTTTTCAAATTCTCGCTGTCTTGCTGCTTCCCAGCAGCAGCAGCAGCAGGCCAGCGGCTGCGACGGGAGCCGCGGGGGGCGCTGCGCTGCCTCTGGACTTTGCGGGAAGTTCATCTTTGAGAGTTCACCACTCTGCAGCATTTACTATTTCAAATCAAAATGCAAAATAAAAAGACTGAGAGCTCAACAGACTTAGTTCTAAGTAGATCTGCCAAGATGCAGCGCGAGTTGCTGCTGTCGAGTCTGTCCAGCAGCTGTGCGGGAGCAGCAGCTGCTGCAGTTCAGCAAAATGCATGCAAACCTTTTCCACTAATTGAAATTAAAACCCTTTATTGTGTTTTAATTGCTAAATGATGCCGGATCTGAGCGAATCAGCAGCAACTGAAGTGCTGCTGCTTGCAACTTTGCTTCCGCATTCCCCCAGCGGAACCACTTCGCTGCCACTTTCGAGATCTTTCCTAGAGTTGAAAAATGCATAAAGAAGGCATTCTAGATGTCAGAATTTCAAAAATAAAACATAATTGAGAAGGGATTTTGAGTGAATAGTGACTTTTAGCTCGGTGCTGAAAATTCAAGATTCAAGTTGAACTTGAGCCCCGGGTGTATCGTCAGCTCTGCATGAACTGCAGCTCGCGCATCAAGATCCGCAACGATCCCACTTTAAAACTGGAAAAAGTATTCATTTTTTGCATTTTAAACATCAAAATGGTTTTATTTTGCAAATTAATGGTGGCAGGCAGCTTTCTTTGTCTCGTGGGCTCCGCCCACTCGCTGCAGCCCTACCGTTTCACGCAGAGCCGCACGAAGCTGGACCGAGACAAAGTAGGACTTTCCCGACGACTTAAGTTGAATTTGAAAAAGAATTATATTTCTTAGACTCCCCCGCCCTATCCCATCATCAACGTGCACTTGGGTAGGCCGCCAGCCCCGCAGGGTCTTAGCCAAAATTGCAAAAGTGTGTTTGGAAATTGCAAAACGTGTTTGGCCGCGGGGCAGATGAGGCGAAACTGCCTGACGGAGTTAAAAGCGATATGGCTGTGTTTCTGCACCGAGAGCGGAGTCGGCAGCGGGAACTTGAAAACGCCATTCACCACAAGCGGGGCTTCTTTGAAGCCAAAATGGGCGAAGTGAGAAGGCCTTTAGTGATTAATGTTCAGCTTTTGCTTTTCTAAACTGCCACTGCTCTTTTTAAATGCAAAAATCTGAATTTTTGGCGCAGCAGCAGCAGCAACTCGAGTTCATCACCGACTTGCAGCAAACCCTCGCTGCAGCGCCAGCATCGGAACTTGAATAGGCAGCCGGGCCCCCAGTTTCCGCCGAATTAAACAGTGCTGCTTCAGCTCTGATGTTTTTAAACTTTTTTTATTTAATTAAAATTATTTTCAGGACTTTTTATTCGGATCGTTCGGCGCAAAGAGAACAAGTGGCTTTTCTGCACTGGCGAACTCGAGCACGGCCGACGGTGCAACTTGAATTCCGGCGCAGCCGTGAGCAACTGAGGCCAGAACTTAAGTTTTTTTTTCTTTTTTGGGTTTTTTTTTTATAAATTAAAACATTTGCGCATTTTTAGGACTTGAAAAAATATAGTTAAGGCTTGTTTCGGAGTCTGCTTTCTCGAAGTCCGCACTCGGCAGCCCCTGCACTCGCGGCGGCAGCGGCGCCTCCCGGGCGAAAAGCGGAAAAAAAGCAGAAATATTTCAAAAATGGAATTTAAAAGAAAAAAAAATCTTGGGGGAACTCGGAAACTAAATAGTTGACTTGTGCTGCTGCGGAGGCTCCTCTCTGCTGCTGCTGGCCGCCGCACCTGCACACGGCACCGCATGCGTCTCCCTAGGCAGCCCGCCTGGCCTCTCTTCGCTCAAAAAAGACTTAACTTCTTTTTTTTCGTTTGATTTCAAGAAAGGAAGCAGGTTTGGACTTGTGGAGAAGAGGCGAAGCTTCAGGTCACTTGCCTCGGTGGGCCGATAGCCGCGTTCAACTGCGAAGCTGAGGGCCGATTCGTCGCGCCGCGCCTTCTTCTCCTCAGCTTTCCAATTTGAATTGCAAATGTGGTAAAAAACTGGTTTTAAAAAAGTAATTTGAAGCTGAAAAGACCCGCGCCGCGCCCCCCAACGCCGCATTTCGTTCAGCTTTCCGCCAGGGTCACCTCCCCGGCGGCGGGTCTTCCGGTAGCAGCAGCAGCAGCAAAGTTCCACTTCCCGGGCCAAGTTGCTGCAGCAAGAGGTCTTTTTCTTTTTGCGACTGAGTTCGCTGGCCAGCGCAGCCGCGGGTCTCGCACTTGCAGCAAAAGTGTTCTGTGTTTCCGGCCCACGGGCAGCAACCCGCAGGTGGGTTTGCCAAATGGCTCACCCGAGAAAGCAGCAGCAGCAGTAGCCACTGCCTGAGGCCTCCGGACCCTTTCTCTGGTATTAACCGCCTCTGCGCCTCAACAAAGGTCAGCAGCAAAACCAGCAGCAGCAGCAGCAGCAGCAGCAGCGGCAGCAGCAGCGGCAAAGCATTCGCCTCCCCGGCAGCTCCGGCGGCGGCTGAGCAGCAGCTCCTTTCCAGTGTACGTACACCGCAGAAGGCCACCAACAGGCAGGTTCTGCTACCGAATGCAGCAGCAGGTTTCTGGAGAGGGGGCCCCCGGGGGGCCCCCCGAGGTGGCCCCCGCATTCCCGCAGGAAGCCCAGGCAGCAGACGCAAGAGGGAGTTCAGAAGACTCTCCAGAGCAGCAGCAGCAGCAGCAGCAGCAGCAGCAGGTGGTGCCTCCCCACCACGTCTCTGCGGAAGACAGGTCTCACGACAGCACGGGGTTTTCTCCTGCTGCTGCAACAGAGTCTCCAGCAGCAGAAGCAGCAGCAGCAAAAAAGAAAGCAGCAGCAGCTCAGGCTGCCCCCGCCACAGGCTTTAAGGGGGCCCTCAGGCACTTCGGGGCCCACTACAAAGCAGCAGCAGAAGAGCCGCAGGAGGGGCCCCCAGATGCAGCAGCAGCAGCAGCAGCAGCAGCAAGCGACAACCCTTTTGGGGTGACTCCTGAGCAGCTCGTAGGTGAGCTTCCAAGCGCCTTTTGTTTCCAGTAAAGAGGCACTAGGTGCAGCAGCAGCAGCAGCGGTAGCAGCAGCAGATGCTGCTGCAGTGGAAATAGCGTCTGCAGCAGCGCCGGCAGCAGCAGCAGCAGCTGCTGCTGCTGCAGCTGCTTCCGTCCCACTTGCTGCACTGTCTGCTGCTTTGTCTGCTGCTGCGTCTGCCTTCTCGTTTCGTCGCTTTCCCCTTCCCTCCCCACTACCCTTCAACTGACCTTGCTGCTGCTGCTGCTGCTGCTGCTGCTGCTGCTGCTGCTGCTGCTGCTGCTGCTGCTGCTGCTGCTGCTGCTGCTCTGCTCGAGCTGCTGCTGCTGCTGCTGCTGCTGCTGCTGCTGCTGCTGCTGCTGCTGCTGCTGCTGCTGCTCAGCCTTCTGGAGGCACTGCCTGGACGCGACGTCGGACTTTACTTTGCGGATTTTGATGGTGGCGGGGCTGGTGATGATCATTTTGGGAGTCACTGTGGGTTTTTTGCATGCATTTGCTGCAGCAGCAAAAGCCCCAATTTGAAATTTAAAAAAACATTAACATAAACATTAACATTAAATAAAACATTAAAATGAACTTCTGCATTTGCATGCATGCGGGCTGCAACAGTTGCTGTTGCTTCTGCGTGCCTGGCCAGTTGCTGCTGCTTCCGTGGCTGCTGCTGCTGCTTTGCTAGCTGCTGCTGCTGCTGCTGCTGGTTCGCCTGCTTCTGCTGCTGCTTTCGTATCTGCTGCTGCTGCTGCTTTGCTGGCTGCTGCTGCCGCTCTGCTAGCTGCTGCGTGGGCCCCGTAGGGCATGCTTTCGCTGCGGGAGTTTGCTGCTGCAGCAGCAAACTCCTGCTGCAGCTCGCAGCCTCTGCCAGCAGCAGCTTCTGGGGTCTCGCTTGGGACTCGCCGCAGCAGCCGCAGCAGCCGCAGCTGCCACAGCACAACGCAGCAGCAACAGCAGCCACCCTCCTTAGCAGCAGCAGCAGCAACAGCAGTTCCACCTTAGCAGCAGCAGCAGCCGCAGCAGGCACCCCGCTTAGCAGCAATAGCAGCCACAGCAGGCACCCACCTAAGCAGCAGCAGCAGCAGTCCCACCTCAGTAGCAGAAGCAGCAGCAGCAGCAGCAGTCCCACCTCAGTAGCAGCAGCAGCAGCAGCAGCAGCTCCAACTGAGCACCAGCAGCAGCAGCAGCAGCAGCAGCTCCAACTGAGCACCAGCAGCAGCAGCAGCAGCAGCAGCAGCTCCAACTGACCAGCAGCAGCAGCAGCAGCAGCAGCAGCAGCAGCAGCAGCAGCAGCAGCGTGTTGCGGTGTTGCTGCTGCGCGCAGACAGGGGAGCACCCGGAGGTGGAGTGGGTGGAGGGTTTTGCAATTTGGGTGGCGGTTTTGGTGGTGGTTTCTGTGACGGCTTTGAACGACTGGGCTAAAGAAAAACAATTTCGAAAACTCGCCAAGTTAAAAGGTCCTGCTGCTGCTGCTGCTGCTGCTGCTGCTGCTGCTGCTGCTGCTGCTGCATGCAGCCGCGCTGAACCACTGACGCACGCCGCGCAAGCGCTTCGCGCAGCAGCAGCAGCAGCAGCAGCAGCAGCTAAAAGAACAGCAGCAGCTCAGCAGCTCATGCAGCTAGAGCACCTGAAGCAGCAGCAGCTATTGCAGCAGCCCCAGTAGCAACAAAAGCAGTAGCCGCAGCAGCAGCAGCAGCAGCAGCAGCAGCAGCAGCAGCAGAGGCTACAGCAGCAGGAGCAGCAGAAGCACAGGTTCTAGGTCTCGGGTAGCCGCTGGGGTGTATGTACACTGGGCGTCTATTGGCGCTGCAATAGGCATTCTTTATGAGTTTTTTGCTGCAGATATGAAACTAAAATGCATTTATTTATTTATTTAAATTGCAAATAATATTTATAAACTAAAATGCATTTATTTATTTATTTAAATTGCAAATAATATTTATTTTAATTTAAATCAGATTAAAACCCTAAAGTGCCCTCAAGAGCGCCTCTGGGGGCATTCTTTTAGCTGCTGCTGCACCCTGCTGCTGCGGCGGCTTTGGCCTGAGTTGCTCCAGGGCTAGTTTTCAGGGTTTAGGGTTTAGGGTTTAGGGTTCAGGGTCTAGTGCGTAGCCCCGGAAGTCACGCTTAGACTCCAGGACTAGGGTTTAGACCCAGGCTTTAGGGTTTAGGGTTTAGTGTTTAGGGTTTAGGGTTAAGGGTTTAGTTTTCCCGACCACTCACTGCCGAAAGCGCCCTCCAGACCGCACCACGCCACACCACTTCCAGCGCCGGCGGCGTCCCTCCCGAGGGTTTAGGGTTTAGGGTTTAGGGTTTAGGGTTTGTGGTTTGTGGTTTGTGCGCAGACGACAAGAACTGCCGGGTGTTGCGGGGCGGGGCGGAGCAGGAGGTGTCCGTGTTTAGCGTGGTGGTTGGAGATGTGATAAAACTCGAAGTTGGAGACGAAGTGCCCGCAGACTCTTTGCTGCTGCAGGGTTTGGACTTCCGGGCGGATGAGAGCAGCATGACTGGCGAGAGCGAGCCCATAGACAAACGCAGCGAGGAGGCTTGCTGGCAGCAAGTCGCCAAGCTCCGCAGCAAGCAGCAGCAGCAGCAGCAGCAGCAGCAGCAGCAGCAGCGGGGGGGGGGCTGCGCGGGAGAGGGAGAGGCGCCGGGAGGCAAGGACGGGGGAGAGCTGCACCTGCAGCAGCAGCAGCAGCAGCAGCAGCAGCAGCAGCAGCAGCAGCAGCAGCAGGTGGGGTTTGGGGGGGGCTCGCAGCACCACTTGGTGGCTTCGCCAGTTCTTGTTGCTGGCAGCACAACAACTGCTGGCAGCTGCTCAGCCCTCGTAATAGCTGTGGGGCCCCGCAGCCAGCAGGGGCAGCTCTTCCACTCCCTCACGGCCTTCGACGCCCAGCCCACGCCTCTCCAGAGTAAACCCTAAACCCTAAACCCTAAACCCTAAACCCTCGCGCCTGGCCCTGGGGCCTGCGCCTGCGGCCGCCGCGGGGGAAACCGCGCGGGGCCGTGCAGCGTGGTTTCCCGGAACCCCAAAGTCGGAACCCGCAGCCTCCTTGGCCCTTCCAAACCCTAAACCCTAAACCCTAAACCCTAAACCCTAAACCCTAAACCCTAAACCCTCACTGGGGTGCGTGCGGTGGCAGACAAGCTTAACGCCCTCGCGAGAGACATCGGCCGCATAGGGTTTATGGCTGCGTGCGTCACCTTCCTCGTGCTGCTCATTCAGTGCGTAAACCCCGGCCCAAACCCCAAACCCTAAACCCTAAACCCTAAACCCTAAACCCTAAGCCCTAAACCGTTCAAATCGCTCGCGAAGCGAGCAGCAGCTCTCTCGCTGCTGCTGCCTGCGCGCCGTGCGCAGCAGCGGCCCGCGAGGGCGGGAGCGCGCAGCGCTAGGGTCTAGGGTTTAGGGTTTAGGGTTTAGGGTTTAGGGTTTGCGCAGGTTCTGGGTTTTGTACGGACTCACCCCCCACGGCGAAAGACCCTCTGCGGGAAACGTCGGAAGAGAACACTTGGAGTTTTTGGTGGTTGCAATTACTATTGTGGTGGTTGCAGTTCCCGAGGGTTTGCCGCTGGCCGTCACCATTTCCCTGGCCTACTCCGTCGGCCGCATGCTGGTCCAAACCCTAAACCCTAAACCCTAAACCCTAAACCCTAAACCCTAAACCCTAAACCACGCGGCTGGCCGCGGGGCGCGCAGCAGCTGCGCGCGGCCAGCGGCAGAGAAGCCGCCGCGCGGCTGCGCGCCGCGCGCCGGGCTAGGGTTTGGGGTTTAGGGTTTAGGGTTTAGGGTTTAGGGTTTGCGCGCCGCAGAAAGACAAAAACTACGTTCGACGCCTCGCAGCCTGCGAAACAATGGGAGGCGCCAACGAAATCTGCAGCGACAAAACGGGGACTTTGACAAAAAATAAAATGGAAGTCCAATCCCTTTGGAGAGGGGGCCCCCCTGGAGACTCTTCTGCCTGGCTACTAGCCCCGGGGGGGCCCCTGGGGGCCCCCCAGCTGCTCGGGACCCCCGCGGGGGCCCCCAAGAGTGGGGATAAGCTGGGGGGCCCCCAGGAGGGGAATGGCAATGGGGGGCCCCCCAAACTAAACCCTAAATTGGTGACTATTACAAACAGGGGGGACAGCGCGTGGGATATGATGGTGCAGCAAGCAGCGCCAGCAGCAGCAGCAGCAGCAGCGGGAAACCACCAAATTGTTTCCCGAGATGTCCCCCTAGACCGCGGCCTTTCAAACGCCGACTGGGCCAACGTGAGCCGCAAATTGGGGTGTACGTACACCTCAAAGTCGGGTGTACATGCACCTCACTTGGGGTGTACGTAGACCTCACTGTTTTGGCCTTTGGGGGTTTTCTGAATCTCTTTTCTTTTCTTTTTCTTTTATTTTGTTCTAATTGATCTTTTTGATTCTTTTTTGCAATTTATTTATTTTAATTATTATTCTTTTGTTTAATTAATTTGTTTATTCTCCTTCGAGCCGCGGCTAGCCCTGAGCCAGTCTTCTAAAACCCATCTTTTTTTGCTTCTTTTTGTTTCTTTTTCTTTTTGTTTTTCTTTTTTTCTTTTTATTTCCTTTTATTTCTTTTTGCTTTCTAATCTCCTTTTGTTTCCTTTTATCTCCGTTTGTGTCCTTTCATCTCCCTTTCCCCTTTTGTACTTTGCCTCGGTTTGACTTGTTCTGCTGCTGCTGCTGCTGCTGCTGCTGCTGCTGCTGCTGCTGCTGCTGCTGCTGCTGCTGCAGCTGCTGTGCACCGCCATAGTGTTGAACAGCACAGGAAGTCTCTCCACTGAGACGGAGGGGCCCCGGGGGCCCCCTGGCGAAGTGCGGAAGGGTTTTGGGGCCTCTTGCTGCTGCTTCGGGTCGGGTGCAGCAGCAGCAACAGCAGCAGCAGCAGCAGCAGCAGCGGAAGAAGCAGCAGCAGCAGCAGCAGACGAACAAACCCCCCACCACGTCGGAAGCCCCACAGAATGTGCTCTTCTAGAATTAGTCGCTCTTTTAGGGTTTGGAATTGAAACCCTCAGAAAGAAGCAGCTGCTGCTGTACGGAGATGTGAGTGCTCGGGTGTATGTACACCTCAGCGCCCCACACGCAAGTGCTGCCAATTGCTTTTTATTTTCTTTTTTTTTTTAATCTTTTTTGTTTCTTTTTGTTTTATTTTGTTCACTTTGTTTCATTTTGTTTGGTTTGTTTTATTTTGTTTTATTTTATTTTGTTTATTTTGTTTTATTTTTCCTTTTTCTTTTTGTTTTTATCTTGTTTTATTTTTTTTTATTTTCTTGTCTCTTTTTGTTTCTTTTCATCTCCTGTTCTTCCCTCTCTCTTTTTTTCACTTTTTCATTTTTCCTTTTTTCCCAGTTCTTTATTATCTTTTCTTTTTTCTTTCTTTCTTTTTTTCCTTTTTTCTTTTTCTTTATTTATCTTTTCTTTTTTCTTTTTTTCTTTTTTCTCTTTTTTGTCTATTTTGCTATTGCCTGCCACCGTTTGTCTTTGTTTGTCTTTTTTTCGTTTTTTGTTTTTGTCTTTTTCACTTTTGTCTGCTGCTTCTGCGTCTCTTGGCTCCCTTTTGTCTGCTGCTTCTGCTGCTGCTGCTGTTGCTGCTGCTGCTGCTGCTGCTGTCTTTGCTGCTGCTGTTTCTGTCTTTTCTGCTGTCTGTGCTGCTTTATTCCTTTTTGCCTTCTATGCTGCTCCTTTTCAGCCTTTTGCTGCTGCTGCTCTGCTGCTGCCTCTGTCTCTTTTAGCCTTTTGCTGCTGCTGCTTTGCTGCTGCTTCTCCCCCTAAGAGCCTTTTGCTGCTGCTGCTTTGCTGCTGCTTCTGTAGCCTGTTTTCCGGGAGCCCTTTACGAGCGACCGCAAGATAATGACGACAGTGGTGTCGCTGCAGCAGCAGCAGCAGCAGCAGCAGCAGCTGCTGCCGCTGCTGCTGCCGCAGCGGGGGCCCGAAGCAGCAGCGGCCAAGGGAAAGAAGAGGCGGGACAGCCGCAGCAGCAGACGCAGCAGCTGCAGCAGCACAGACAGCAGGCGCTGCAGCACGGCCAGCAACGGGAACCGGCTGGCAGCAGACCCCGCAGCAGCAGCAGCAGAAGCAGCAGCAGTAGCAGCAGCAGCAGCAGCAGCAGCAAACACCAACCAGCCCACCGAAGTCGGGGCTTACCGAGTTTATGTAAAAGGAGCAGCAGAGTCTGTGCTGCGGCTCTGCAGCCACATAGTGGTGCCCCCCGGCCTTGCTGCTGCAGTGGCGCCCCTCAGCAGCAGCAGCAGCAGCAGCAGCAGCAGCAGCAGCAGCGGGGAGAACCTGTGCCCCGACCTGTGCGTAGTGCCCCTCTCAGCAGCAGCAGCAGCAGCAGTGGAGCAGCAAGTCATTGGGGCCATGGCTGGCCAGGCCCTCCGCACAATTTGCGTGGCTTATAAAGATTTCTTTGGAGACAAAAAAGACTCTTCTTGGAAAGAAATAAGTCCAAACCCTCCCTTCAAACAAGTCGAGTCCGGCCTCACTTGCCTCGCCATTCTTGGAATCAGGTCCGCAGCGAGGGTTTAGGGTTTAGGGTTTAGGGTTTAGGGTTTGGGGTTTGGGGTTTGGGGTTTGGGGTTTGGCGGCAGCGGGAAGCCAGCTCGCGCCTGCGAACTACTGGGAGCCCTTCAAGCCCCTGTCTGGCTGCTCTGGCCTCGGGCTGCGGCCCTAGGGTTTAGGGTTTAGGGTTTAGGGTTTAGGGTTTAGGGTTTGGGGTTTGCAGAGACCCCGTGAGGGAGGAAGTCCCTGCTGCAGTGAGGGCCTGCCAGGCCTCGGGAATTAAAGTGCGGATGGTTACTGGGGACAATTTGGAGACTGCGAAGCAAATAGGCATCAAGTGCAACATATACCATCCCGAAGAAGGTAGGGTTTAGGGTTTAGGGTTTAGGGTTTAGGGTTTAGGGTTTAGGGTTTGGGGGTGGGCTGTGGGTGGTGCTGGGCCGGCGGGTGGCGTTTCATGGGCTGCGTCAGCTTCTGAGGGTTTAGCGCTAGAGGCTAAACAGGCACCAAACCCTAGCCCCCTCGCCACAAACCCTAAACCCTAAACCCTAAACCCTAGCAAGAGTTTTCGCGAGTTGGTGGAGTGTTTCTGGGGCTCCCCAGTTTTGCTGCGCGCCTTGGTCGGAGCCGCGGTGTGCGCTTCCGCGCGAAGGCCCGCCCGCGGGTTTGCCGAGGGTTTAGGGTTTAGGGTTTAGGGTTTAGGGTTTAGGGTTTAGGGTTTGCGCAGACGGGCTGGCGATGACGGGCGCGGAGTTCAGCCGCCTCGTGGGCCGAGTTGTCTGCAGCGTTTGCTGCACTAGGGTTTGCGACTGCCCCACAAGTGCAGCAGCAGAACGTCGGGAGGGAAAGAAGCAAAGAAAAGATGTTGTCAAGGACTTGGAGGCTTTCAAAACCATCGCCCCCCGGTGCGAGGGTTTAGGGTTTAGGGTTTAGGGTTTGGGGTTTGGGGGCGGCTGGGGGGCGGCTGAGGTGGCGAGGTTTCGCCGGGTTTTCGAGGCGGGAGCTAGGGTTTAGGGTTTGGCATCGATACGCTTATTTGGGGTTTAGGGTTTGCGACAGTTGGGGGTTCAACGCTGTTTGTGGATTAGGTGCGAGGGTTTAGGGTTTAGGGTTTAGGGTTTGGCTTGCAGTAAAAGCGCTGCACAGAGCAGCGCGCCGCCGCTAAACGCGCAAGCGCTGAAACCCAATACCTACGGTCTAGGGTTTAGGGTTTAGGGTTTAGGGTTTGCGCCAAGGAAGTTTTCAAACCCTAGATAGGATTGCCAACATTTTCGAGGAACGGACACACTGTAGCAAAGGGCTAGGGTTTAGGGTTTAGGGTTTAGGGTTTGCGCCCAGCTCGAGGTCCTGGCCAGGTCCCAGCCCCTAGACAAGTTCGCCCTCGTTTTGGGGCTGCAGCAGTTGGGGGCCGTCGTGGCAGTGACTGGCGACGGGGCCAACGACGCGCCTGCGCTGAAGACTGCGGACGTGGGCTTCGCCATGGGGGTCACAGGTCAAACCCTAAACCCTAAACCCTAAACCCTAAACCCTAAACCCTAAACCCTAGTGTTGGACAGAGGGAGGGAGGCGCTGCGCGGCCGGTGGGGCTTGCGCGGCTGCAAGGTTTAAACCCTAATAGCGGGTCTACACACTGCAGACGTGGGCT